GTGTGTGTGTGTGTGTGTGTGTGTGTGTGTGTGTGTGTGTGTGTGTGTGTGTGTGTGTGTCAAAAAAAGATATGGTGCTGACAGTCAGGTACGTGGCACAATAGCTCGAGAACACGGGCTCAAGCCCTTGAAAACGTGGGTTCAAGCCCTCCAAAATGAGAATGAATCCACCACTATAACATGGAAAGATACATTGCCATCTTTGTTTACTTTTGTGCATGTGGAAAGTATTGCAGCGAGGCCCTAAGATTATACTGCAGCAGTAGTGGCCGCCGTTTCACGCGCCAGGCTCCCAGAGAATATGCAAGGTGGCTGCTCATTACAGTACGAAATGCCATTAGAAGGATGATCGCGCTTGGGCTGTAACAGCAATGCATTGCCCCGCACATCACAACAACATGGTTCGAAAAAGTCTTATGATTGTTCCTTCTCTCTCTACTGTAGTGAGCAGCCACCTTGCATATTCGCTGGGAGCCTGGCGCGCGAAAAGGCGGCCGCTACTGCTGCAGTATATTCTTAGGGCCTCGCTGCAATACTTTCCACATGCACAAAAGTCAAAAAAGATGGCAATGTATCTTTCCATGTTCTAGCGGTGGATTCATTCGCATTTTGCGCATTTGGAGAGTAGTGCAGCGAGGCCCTTACGCGATCTCGATATACAAAAAAAAAAAGGAAAAAAAAAAAAAAAGCGCAGTGCCCCTCCCATCTTACTTCTGCCTTGATCCCGTTACCCCTGCCGCCTTCTTTCTCTCCCCTCCCTCTACCCTCCCCATAGATCCTGACACCTGGTGCTATACTCTACAGTCTGCCCGCTGCCCTGATGCTATTCTTCTTGCTCTCTCCTGCCCCAGCCGAAAAAGCCACACACAGAGAGAGAGAGAGAGTGAGAGAGAGAGAGAGAGGCCAGAAGGACTTTTCTCCTGTCCCATCTTCCTTCTGCCCTGACCTCATTTCCTCGCCTCCTTCTTTACCTCCCCTTCCCTACCTTCCTTCTTGATTCCGACAACGTTGCCGTCTGCCAAATGCCCCGGTGTTGTTCGTGTTGCTCTCTCCCACTTGCACAAGCTGAGAAACCCGGAGAGAGAGAGAGAGAGAGAGAGAGAGAGAGAGAGAGAGAGAGAGAGAGAGAGAGAGAGAGAGAGAGAGACGCAATGACAATCTTTAAAACAGTTGTGGACCCAGATAGAAGACGTGATGAGGAGAGAGGAGGAGTGGACGGCGAAGGGAATGAGGAAACAGATAGATGGGCGGTGAAATGGGAGTTCGGGTGATAAGGGAAAATGACAATAGGAAGCATCAGTGGGCGCCGGGAAAAAAGTGGTGGAGATATGGCGCAAGATGGTGGAGATAT